CACATCCACATGGTTCTTGGGGTTGAACTGCTTCACTTTCCAGTGCTGTGTTTTGATGCAGTGCCTTTACCTGTCCTGGTTTCATCTGGGGAACAGTTAATCTTTTTCTTAGTAGCTGGTCCAGTGCAGTGTTTTGGGTGTAGAGTGAAAATGCTGTTGATAACACACTGATGTTTTAGTTGTTCCTCAATTGTGCTAAATCGAGGGCTTTTCATTTTTCCATGCTCTACCGGTGACCAGGTGTATAAGAAACAGGGGAGGAGCGTGGCCAGGGCAGAGAACTGGAACTGGAACTGGCCAGAGGGATGTTCCATGCCATACCACACCATGCTCAGTCTAGAAACTGGGGGAGTTGGCCAGGGAATGACAATTGCTGCTCGTGGGTGGGCTGAGCATTGATTGGATCATGATAAGTAATTCTATCATTGGTCACTTGTTCTCCTCTCCATTAAAATGTCAGTATCTTTATTATAACTGCTAGATTTGACTTCATTTCAGTTTTAAAATAATTTTTATCTCAACTCATGAATTTTACCGTTTTAAAAAATTTTCCTCCCCATCCCACTGGGGAGCCAGTGGACAGCAGGGTGAGTGGCTGCATGGTACTTTGTTGTAGCTAGGGTTAAACCACAACTCTAGATTTAAATTACCTATTGGCTATGTTTTTGAAGAACAAGTGAATTATGTCTGTTTTTCTTTTTATACCCATTAATTATTGTTACTCTACCCAAAGCTTGCATACTGTTAAGCAGAGGACTGTGCAAATAATTTACAAGGGAATTACTTGAAGAAGAAAGAAAAAGAAGCAAAGGCCTGTGAAATTAACCTGGCTGATCTAAGCCACTCCTCCTAAGGATTCCCTTTTCAAACCTTCACCATTTGGTGGCCCTCCTTTGGATATTCTCTATTAGCTCAGTGTATTTTTATGTTGTGGTGGCCAAAACTGCACATTGGCCTTGAGGTGAGGCCACCTCAGTACAGAGCAGAGCGGGACAATCCCCTCCCTTGCCCTGCTGACTCCCCAGTCTGTCCATACAACCAGGGTTTCTCTGTCCCAAGTGCAGAATCCAGCTCTAATCCCTGTTAAACTTCATGTGTTTTTAAAGGGACTGACACCCCTTGTGGAACAGGTTGCTGCCCAGAGGGCAGAGGTTACACAAACACAAGTCCTGAAGTGAACACACTGACTCGTAAAGCTCTGCAGATATTTCCTTGCTCAAATGCAGGGCCCAGATGGGTTTGGATTCCTGCTCATCTACAAGGGATTCTCACAGTTTTCAGCTGGCATAGGTACACTGGTTTCTTCCTGCCCTCACAGTTTGCTGGGAGAGGGGGAGGTAAGACATGGGCACAGTGCAGATCCTTGCCATCCTTTTAGCTGGTTTAAGAGTCTGTTGGTGTTTAAGAGACTTGGTTAGTTCATGCTGAGCAATCAATTCAGGCAGAGGGCTGTGACTCCTCTCTTTTCCTGCACTGAGCAGGAACTGGGTACAGGGAAAAAAATCTGTCTTGTGGTTACCAAGCCAGGGCAGTGGAAGAGAATTGCAAATGATGACTACTTTATTTGAGAATTTGATTTATAATCCTTTTTGTTACATTGTTTTAAAGAAGATAGTTCACATATAGTTCACGTATAAATCTTTATAAAGTCATGAATGTCCTATAAATCATCTGTGTACATTATGAGTCCTGCAGAGAAACAGATACTTTAAGACTAACGTCAAAGTTCCATTTAGAAAGCTCTATGTGCATATTTTATACCCTTATACCTACTGATTTATTTGAAAACAATTGAAATAATGTAAGAAAGAGAAAAAAATAACACCAATGCTTTTTAGAATAAGCATTGACAATAAAAATATCAAGAAAACATTGTTAAACTTGATATTTTATCCAGGATTTTAAACCCATCAGGATTTAACATTTATTAGGGATTAATGGAAGGATAAGGTGAAACATGATGGTGATTCAGCCAGAAGCAGGGCAGTTGTCAGAGGATGCTCTCTGTGCATGGGTGTAACACATCATTTCCTAGAATCAATCAAAAGTGAAGGCCATGAAAAACCAGATCCCAAATAGCATGGTCTTAACTGCAATAGGGCTGGGACAGAACCACAGGTTGTGCAAAATTGCAAAGCTCAGTAATTTGCTGAGTGACAAAAACAAGGAGTCTACCTATTTGCAGTTTATTTTTTAAATATGTATTTGCAAATGACAGAAGTGCTAAGTTCAGCGTGCCTGATTTTCTTCTCGCTTATGTCAGTGCCAATCAGGGATATCTTCACTGAATTTACTTAACACACTTCTTTCTGCCCTCTGGCTTCCCTTTAGCTAGTCCTAATTAGAACTGTGCAAAGAGTTGGCTGGGCAACTCATTCTCTAAAAAAAATAAGATTAAAGAAATATTAAGAAATCTTAGACTGAATAAAGGAACTGAGATGCCATTTTGTGCCAAAGAGGTCTTATCTTGGCTTGCAACTGAGAACATGTTTATCTAAGTAGCAAAGACTCAAATTACTTTCAGGTTTGAGTGGTGTAAGAAGAGATTCAGAGAAGTCCTGTGTGTGCTCCAAGTCAGGTAAGAAGAACTTTGCATGTGGACCTCCCAGACCAGACAAGGCATACACCTCCAGCATCTGAGGTGCATGCAAAAACTGGTAAAACCTGCTTTGGTTTTTTTAATAGCACCTTTTTCTTTACATGTTGTCTCCCAGAAAATAATGTGTTATTGTGGAAATGTCAGAGCAAAATATTTCAGTGTTCTAAAAAGATTTTTGTTTCTGTTTGTTTGGGTTTTTGCCATACATAAATATTGTAACAGTGATGGTTTGGTTCATTGAAAACCTCTTTCACGTAGGACAAATAAGTAATTTGCTAGGGTTGTGGTTTTTTTTTTTTTTTCCTTTTTTTCCCCCCTTGAGTAATAGAAATTTGCATCTGTGTAAAGCAGAAAAAAAAAGTCAGAGCAATGAGATTATGCTGACAAGTGCCTGATACAAACAGGAGGAGAATGGGAACTGACTGACTGATGGAACCAGACAGTAGCTCTCAGCTCAAGTAAGTAAAGGTCTATTATTCCTGGGCTGCTGCATCAGCAAACCAATTAAATTAAGGAATTCTACAGACTTCCCACATAGTTAAAAGGAACTAAACCAGATTGAATGTAGAGCATTACACACCAGGGGAGGAGAATAAGAAGGGTGGGGTTAGAAAATGAAAATCCTAGCGTACAAAACAAAGAGAAATAAAATGCTCAGCCAAGGAAATTATTATTATGATAGTGAAAAAGAAATGCTATTATTGCTTGGAGGTTTTCAATTCTATTTTATGAACCCTGGTTTGTATTTATGACCTTCTGAGATCTCTGCTAAGATAACTGTGCTCAATTCTCCATGTATCATGAAGTGTTTTCTTAGACCATTTGTGCCTATATGGGTTGAATCTGTTGTTGGTTGTAAGGGTGGGGATACAGAAATATCTGGCTGTTCAATAAATAAATACTGTACACCCTGTTTAGGAGGACTGACCAATATCAGCTTTTCTCTTTGAGCTGTGAAGCTGCAAGCGTCTGCCTTCAAGCTGCATGACTCCTTCTGGGACTTCTCTGAATCCAAGTAATCTCCTTGAGCAATGGATTCATTTGATGGTTAACAGTATTGCTGCCAAGAAGAGATTTGTCATATCTTTAGGCTAAGAGGAGGAATTCTGCAGTACTAGCTAACTCCTCTCCACAGGGAAAATCAGCATATTCTTCTGGATATGCTGCAGTCCTATGATCAATATATTTGTTCACATTTAATTCTATATGTGAAAACCAGATTCTCGTTTTGAAAACAGCTGTAACCTATATATAGGATTTGTCTTCTTTCCAGCTTTACTCTTAAAAGAGTTCATGTGGAATTAATTGTAAATAGCTGGATTTGAAGGTGTCTTGGTTTTTTTTGGTGGGTTTTTTTTTTTTTTTGAGGAAAGTTAGCATTTAAATCTTATTCTGCCTAGCTAGTCAATAATAACGTTCTTACCTTCTGAAATTTAGACAGATCTACAGCTTCAGCAAACTTTCACATTGCCATTTTTAAATACATATCATATATTTCACAGATCTTTTCAGCAAAAATTTAGACGTGCCAACGCGATTTAGAAGTCTAGAGTATATTTAAATATGACTGAAGCATTTGAAAAAACAAACCCCAAAGACTTCCAGTAAGATTTAGACTTCCTCAAGTTAATATCTAAAATGTCACATGTGCCTGGATTTAAAACTATCCAATGCTCTGATACATATGACAGAGATATTAAACTTAAGAGTCCATGTTCTTAAACTAGTGGATGATTCAAGACATTGATAACTCAACTTCCTGCTGCAAGAGCCTGTCTATATGTGCAACAGCACATATATTTGTGCTGTTCAGTATATGAAAAATCACTGACAGTGTTTCAGAAAGATCCCTGAATCTTGTGGCTGCCCATCACCTGGGGTAACAAACAGAGCACAGGTGTCTAACCCAGCACAGTGTAGCAGCAGTTCTCACATACCCACATATAGGGATAAGGAGCAAGGAAAGAGTGTTTCTGGTTTCCCAATAGCTTGGTTGTATTCAGATGAGGTACAAAGGTCATTCAGGCTCAAATGTCCCCATTTGCTGAGAGAGAAGAACTTAGAGCTGTCATGTGTGAGGAATTTTCAGTGCCATCGGGAAAGGGATCTCTGAACTCCTCCTTCTGAGGGTTGTTCACTGCAAATGGGACCACTAAGAGATGACTGAGATGGAAATAAAAAGCTGGGAGAAGCCTTTAACTCAGGTAGCTAAAGCAGATCTCAACAGAACCCTTATCCCAAAGCTTGCCTTGGGGATGGGGATCAATGTCTTTTCACAAAGAAATGGAGTTTGTTTTGAGGTGTCTCTCCTATCTCCATTGATGGTTTCCAGGCTGCTGGGTTAAAGCCCACCTCCAGTGAGTGCTCAGCCAGGGAAATTCTCCTTCAGAGAATTTTTTGTTCTTTCACTTCTTTTGTTCTTTCTTGTTTAGGACTTAGCTTGATGCAGGTTGGGACTAAGCCTGCAAGCTGTCTGCTGGATTTTTTTGTCAGTTCCACAGCTGCAGTAAGAGCTGTAAAATGATCAAACATATCAAATTTTTTGCAGTGTCCGCAAAGACTGCTGAAGCTCACAGCTCTTGGAAAGGCTTTCAACGACCCTGGAAGCCCTGAAGATCCTTGAATGGAACTAGGCTTTTAGACTGAACTGCAGAAAACCTCAGTTCCTGCAAAGCCACTGAAACCTGAAAGTGCCTTTTTTGCTGACTGCTCCAGACTCTCAGATTCTGGGAGCCTGTCTCATGGCTTCAAGCCACAACAAAACAGCATAATCCACCTGGATGTTTTAACAAAGCTGGCTGTTTAGAAGTCACAAGGCCTAGGAAGACTGTCATATTCAGCTCTAGAGGTTTCCTCCTTACAACAGGATGTTTGGGCAAAATTTCTGCAGCTCAGTGAGTATGAAAAACCTATTTAAACACCAGACCCAACATTTTATGGTAAAACTGGACTGCAGCTAAATAAGTTGCAGCCACATTTATAATGCTGCCTGATGTCTTTCATTGTGAAACATTGCATGTTTTCAAAACACTTATTCCAATGGAAAAGAGAAGAGTTGGAATATATACAATGTGGAATGAAAAGACTGTAAACACTAAGCTGACCTATCCCCTTTTACTTACCTTTGTAATTTATGCTTAGTGCTAATTAGTTCAAAAATTCCCATATTTTTACCTGCAGGATGTTTTGGAATTCCCTTTTCCTGTAGATATTTGAATTGGATGACTACTCAAATTACACAGCATGTGGGTCTCTGAACTGGTCTGAATTAGTGGGAATGTGGGCAGAACTCTGCACTTATGTTTTTGCTCAAAGTTAATTTGCACAGCTTTTATCTTCCTGAGATCTTTGCCGAATTTAGGTTTTAGGATCACAGCTAATCCTGGAAATAATTTCCAGGTACAGTGAAGATGACAAAATCATAGGAGTAGTCAGCAAGGCATCACCAAGTGGAAGTCGTGCTTGCCCAACATCTGTGGTGAAGTGGCTGACCTCTTGGATGAGAGGGAGGCAGAGGGTATTGCCTGAACTTCAGTGAGACCTGCGGTGATGCCTCCCATTAGACCCTCACAGAGAAGATTTTGATGTACAGACTGGGGGAGGTGACAGTGAGTTGAAAACTGGCTGAATTTCTGGGTCTAGGGAGTGGTGATTTACAAATCTAGTTGGAGACAGCGGCTAGCAGAGTTCCTCAGTGACCAGTACTGGATCCAGTCCTGTTAAACCTCTGGGTGATGGGGCAGAGTGTAGCCTCAGCTGGTTTGCTGGTGATACCAAACTGGGAGGAGTGGCTGTTACACCAAGGGTCATGCTGCCATCCAGAGTGACCTCAGCAGGTTGGAGAAATGGGTCAACAGGAATGTCATGAGGTTCAACAAAGGGAATTGTGAAGTCTCAGACACCTGGGGGGGATCACCCCCCATGCACCAGTGGATGATGGTGGCCTCCTCAGTTGAAAGAAGTTTGCCAGAAAAGGACCTGGAAGTCCTGGTGGACACCAGGTTCAACACAAATCTCTCAGTATCTAAGTAAACATCTGTACAGATTCCATTTAGATATCTCTTATAAAGCCCACATTTTTTTATAAAGTAGGTGTAAATTGACCTGAGGGCCATCATTCAGTCCCCAAACCTAGTTAATACTGTACTGCATCTTGGGTTTCATATCCAGCTCTTCTGAATTGGCTGTTAAGTCCTCCTATAAGTTTTTAGAAGAAAGGACCTTTTCTTAATAAAAAAATACTGATCTGAAAATGTTTCATAATATTTTTAGGGTAGAATAGCTTCACCTGGGCATGTTCCAAGGAAACTTTTCTTGGACGAGTTTCACTTTTTAAAGTGAAGAATTGCAGTGCAAATCTGTTTCATCATCTCAAATTTAAAGACCATTTACATAAAGATAATCAGGGAAAGGACAGAGTGATCAGGATTGCAAGTGTCTGAAAATAAAGATAAGGCCAGATCTAGATCTACTGGTGTGAGCTTTCTGTGTGGTGCATCTCAGACGACGGAAAGCAGCTGTAAAGTGGTACAGACAGCATTTGTGATTCACTGCATCAGTGGAGCAATGCCAACGAGTTCTGGTGTGTCAACAAATCCAGGGCAAAGTGGCAGCTGCATCCTCTTAGACAGATAAAGCTTCTTCTGCTGCAAGTAGTGTGAAGGAAACATTTGCATGTACATAGAAGGGCGTTTGTTTGCATGTGTACATGCATGGGTGTTTACACGTACACACGCACAATTCCGGGAGTGTGGTGGGCCTGGTAACACCATCTGGTGTTAAATTTACCCATCATCTCTGCTGATAAGAGCAGTTGCCTACAGTCTTGCTAAATGTTAGTCAGAAAGCTGAAGTCCTCCACATCATCAATAACCCTTTTTGGACTCAGGCGGAACAAGGGAGGAAAATTACAAACAAAACAAAACAAAATCCAGATGCACATATTAGGTAAAAAATTCTGGTGTGTCTGGGCATGTGGAGGATAGACTGGAACAAATTGTCTCTAAGTAGATGCTGGGACTGGGAGGTTGTGTAAAATGAACAAAGTACCACGAAGGGATGGAGATTCAGGGAGTGGGACAGTTTGGAAAATTGTTGCAAGTACATTTGTTGGGGTACATGGGGGGCAGCATGAGAATCTGGACTATATATTGATAGGATGGTTTAGGCCTGCAGATAAAATGGAATAAGATCTAACATAAAGGCACAAAAAAGAAAGATCTTAGGGCAGTAGGGAAAAAGACAGTCATAGCAGGGGTTCAGGCAAAAAGATTGGCCCAAAAGACCAGGAAGGAGAAGGAAGTGTGGGGGTAGGTCAGTAGTGGATGGGCCTATGGTGCAATAACAGCCTTCAGTTGGGTTCAGATATGTGAGAATGTACAAAAAGAGAGAAGTCTCAAGGAAGAGTAAAGACAAAACTGACTGGCCAAAGAGATAGGAAGTGTTGGGTCATACTTGTTTGCTGTGTGGGAAATGATGGAAGGGACACTGAAGCACAAATTATCCTTGCTGGGACTGTAGTAAGCTCAGGAGAGAGTGCTACTGCTAATTTCAGTTGCTAGGCTCAGAATAATCTCTCTTAATCATACATGAACTGTTGTTTTTTTCTCCAAGACTTGCTCATCTCCTTGTAGATTTTCTTATATACACTGAGAAGAAGAGACCAAATTTCAAAACCCTCCAAAAAATATTCTAGAACTATCCAATCTTTCTAAAAAATATGTTCTTCACGTTTCTTCCCCCCCTCCCCCCAATATTGAACAACAGTATTCTCAGTACAGGCTTAGCTGTTTTGATTTAAACAAATTAGTTCTGACTCTGCCTGGATAGCCCTAGCAGGGAAAACCCTTAATCAAGATGTTTAGCTAAGTTATGAGACACTAATAAAAGATCCTGAAAGAGGGAGTATCAAGCATCACTAATTACAGGAAATGCTGGAATATTTATAGACACATACAGAGATATTTGTAAAACAACCTCTAGGCTTTAAACTTTCCTTGCCTAATCTCAGTGGAGAGACCCTTTCAAGTGATAACCTAAATATTTTGGTTCAGGATGTTTATAAGCAGCCCATGGATTTCCTTGAAAAAATTGAATGGATTCTGGCACATGCTTAGGGTTGTGGCTGGCTGTACATTTTATTCATTAGGGAGTATATTTTGCTATGAATACTTTCTTTATTTGTTTGGAAAAAACTTCATTTTGACTTTGATTTTTTGAAAGATAAAGCTGAAGAAATCATTTACAGTCATGTTTTATTATCTGCTGGAGCTTCAATTAGTGCCTAATCCAATGATTGCTGAAAGCATTTTTGATTCAGAAACAATTTATTTACTCATATTACCAACAATGTGGCACTTTGGGGAGTTCTTTACAGCAGAACTCAGAGAAGTCACACTAGAAGAAAATTTGGCTTGATTTAGGTTTTTGAGCATTAGAATCCTTCATACTGACCTAACAATTATCCAGGGTATTTCAAAACATATTCAAAATAGCTGTAATTTCACATTCAGCCCTAAAAGCTGCATTTAGGTTTGGTGTATGGTATGGAAATACAAATCACCAACTATGGAAAGCCAGTGAATTGTGGTGATAACCAGGTACTTAATGAAACAGTTGTTTACAAGCAGAACTCTTATTCACAGAAATTAAGTTCATTTTTCCAATTATATAAGAGCTGGAAACCTGTTGTTTTAAACATTAAATCTTATTATAGATTACAGTGGATTACAGAAAAAAGAGCCTGCTTTCCCTCTACACTCAATTTGCCCTCTGGTAGGAAAGGGCTGCTGTTACTCACAAACATCTAAGCCATGATTATGATGCCCATGGATCTGTAAACTCCTGTTCAAACCCAGGCAGCAGGAAAGGGGCTGTGTTCATTCAACTGGCAGCAGGTAAGGGCTATTCCCTGCTCTTTTTTGCACACCAGCCTGTGCCCTAGGAACAAAAACTGCAGCTGGAAACACCTTCAGGCAAATACTCCAGACTTTGACATTTACTGAGGTCTTGAAATGACCTCTTAGGGCATGAAACCTAAGGATAGGAAAAAATATCCAATATTAAAATGCTGCCTCCTTGGATAGTCTTAACCACTCCACTGAACTTTGTGACAATGTCCCTTTGCACCATCTGAAATCTTGGACCATGGTCTTTTAGGGTAGGCATAAGTTTCTCTAAATTGTTTGCTAAGAGGAAGCACAGCACTAGAATTGCTGCTACTCAGCCAGGTATTTATCATGATAGTCTACTTCAACTGTGTCCTGCTGCTGCTAGGCATCATCTGAATGCTTCTTTTTACCTAAGATAAATAAATTGGTGTCATCTTGGAGATTTAGTTGCAACTGCAGTTTATAGGTAAAAAAATAATACCTTGCAGCAAATTTCTTAAAGCAAGCAAAACCCCTAAACCCTCATAACACTCTCAAATTATAAACCTCAGGAGAAATTAATTAGAAATATTAACAATTAGCAGTAGTGAAAATACTGCATCTTGAAAATATTAGAGGTCCTCTACTATTCTTTAAGTCAAGCAGATATAGGAAAAAAGCAGGCATTGGTGTTTCTTTTACTGCTTACATGAGCCATAAAATAAAATGTTTGGAAAATACCCATATTAAATGAAAAATGAAGTAATTTAGAGCACAAATAATACTTTATTTATCAGAAGTGAAATAATATAAATCAACCCTTACAACTTCTGTATCAATCTGCTCTTTGGAGTAAATAGAAGAATAAAATATTTCCTTAAAAGCACTCAGATGATTTGTTTCAGGGCTCATAAACATCTTTTATGAACAGCAGTTTAGGAATACCTAATGTTAAGTAATACCAGTGGTGCTGTAACAAATCTGGACTATGCATGCCAAAAAAAAAAAATGTTTAGAGAGTTTTATTAGACTGATCTAATTGAAAAATGAGATCTGCTGTGGGTCACAGAAACATGGTGAAGCTTGTCTACTTTTTTCCAAACTGATGTGATGCTATTGTATATATTGCTTCAAAAGGCACAAAAATGCCAAGGGCAAGCAAAATGTCCCTGGGCCTTTTGAGGCTGGCTCTTGCCTTGAGCTCATGTGTGCACCCAGAGGATGCCACAGCAGGTTTGCACCCATTCCCAGAGGCGCTGGGCCACCTTCCCCTTGTACAGTGCAGCTGCACACTGGATGAACCTCCTTCCAGGGGATAGATTCCAGGAAAAGTGAGTTGGGTTTCTCCTTTCATGTTGGTGCTCTCAGAGACCTGAGTGAGAAGGGTGAGTAGATTGAACCCCTTCATGCTTGGAGGAGGGCAGTATTTGAATATCTGCTGTGCCATTTTCTGATACTTCTTAAAACCATATTCTGTCATGATACACACATAGGCTGGTTGTAGTCAGACTTTTTATGTACTGTGGCAAAATTTCATCATTGATTACAGAATCCCTTGCTTCTCTGCATTCTCCTGTCCATCTACTGATTCCTGCCCTACATCTTATCCTGTGTGCTTGTAAGCATCTATACAGCAGTTATCATGCTGAAATCGGGGTCCATGACTATGTTTCCTACCTCAGTGACATAGAAAACAGCCCTAACACTGGTTTTAAAGGCACTGTGGTGGTTTCAATGACTTACTGTGCTGGAAAGTCTGAAGCAAAAAAATAGCCATACTACCCAAGATGTGCAGACTGTTATGCTGGGAGTAGGATTCAACTCATTCTAAGACAGATTAATAGTATGAAAGACGAATCACATTCAAAACCTTTGTATTTCTCTCCTCTTCTGAGTATGAAAAAGATGTTTAAAATGTGTCTTACCTAGATGCCACTGATATCTGCTGTGTCTTTTTGTAATTTATTACATAAAGATCAACATATGTCACTCCAGCAAACAAGATATTTATTTATCAAATAAATGAATAAATATATCCATCACTCTTCTTTGAAAAATACTGGGACATTCAAGTCAGGCACTTGAAAGCAACATTCTAGTAACAGAAACTGTAAGCGATAGCAATAATGCTGGAAAGCTTTTATCAAATTAAGTGAAGGGTTTGGATCAGCTCCCAGCAGCTGCAGCTTCATTTCTCAGAAACCAGCAGCTGGTTACCTGCAGCACCTTTCCAGCAGAGTCCTCATGTCCTGAATGGATGCTGGGAATTGCTTCCAGGCTCTGATCAGTCCTGTAGATTAAGACACTCTCACAGAGCTGGGCATGGGTATGGATTAATCCTTTCATTGAAACACTGGGATTCGAAATAGGAGTTGTTAATTTTGGTTGGCAGTATCTTGGCAGAGAGGAAGCAGGCAGATCCCTTCTCCTCCATTAGTTCTTGTTTCTCCTGTTTTATTAAAACAGCTCATCATATTTGTAAGCTTCAATGAACAATTCTTCTTAACATACTCCCACACAAGGATCCATTGAACAACTTGAATTGTCTCAGCTATTTTAAGGATAAACATTTCTTCAGGAGTGCTCATGAAACCTACAATTGCTGAAGTTTTCAAACCAATAAATATCACCTTCTTCAGTCCATTACAGGGGGTAATTTCTTTGCTACTTGCACAGATATAAGTTAGGAGGAATAATTTAAAAACAATGTCAGAAAACTAGGGAAGTATAGTAGGAACTTGGCTCAGGAGTGTGTTAAAAACCGTGTTCATTCCTGGAAGGAATGTTAGATGAAAAAATATTAATCAGTTACTAATGATACAAGTAACCTTTAAAATGAAGGGATCACCTTTCTCTGTGTTTCTTATGTTTTTTGGGTTTTTTTCACACTACTTAAGCACAAACAATATTTATCTAAATCAGACAAGATGCTAAAAGAATTCTAATGGATAATACAGTGAGAATTTAGTAAATAATGATTATGTAGAGACCAATTTCTGGAAGTGCCTTGCTCCCTTAGGCTTATTCCTACTTTAAAAAATAATTCAGGGGCGATTTAGGCTTTTGGGAGCCTTGCATCTCTAATAATTCGTGGGAGTAAGGCTCCTCCATCTCTGAAAGAGCTACCTAATGTAATTTGCTTGGATGCAAAAAGCAGTATAGTAGGTTTTCATGGCAGTTTGCCTGGACTAATATAGCAACTTCTAGATGTTAATTAGTCACAGTGGAGCTCCACAATACAGCCTGTTTGTTAAGCACGTGTTCAGGTATCTTCATGCTGCACGGCTTTATGGCACATAGGTATAAACCTGGGTGCTTCTAAATTTGTAATTTCTTGCCTGAGAGAAAACTGATGTAGAAATACTCAGATGCAGATTCCATGTTTTGTAGCTGCCTGCTGATTTCCAGATCAGGTACTCTCAGTCAGGACCAAACCTTCCCTGCAACACCTCACTCCATCAGCAGGGAACTTTTGACAGGACTGGGTGTGAGATGAAACACTTTTTAGCTCTTGCCATGCCATGCTGTTAAAATGAGAGTCATAAACCCCAATTCTGTCCTACATTGCTCTATTGATGTTGCAGAACTAACTTATATGAAGCATAATTTAAACATATTTAGAGGAAAGGTTGCCTTGAGTAAATGAATCCCAGCAGAAGCTGTAGGAAGAACCCTCCATAAATCTTTTCTATGTATCTTATAACTTGAGGAATACCTGTAGGCTTCCTTCAGGGCTGTGCTCAGCATCAATTGGGTAGCAGAGCTGCAGATACTGTGGGAAGCTGTTGAAATCAGGCTGCATCCCGTTTTATTCCAGTTCAGCTCCATTTGGGGTGGTTCAGTTAGGAGTTCAGCTTCTCCACTGTAGTTATGGTTAAATACAAACTCAGAGAAGCAAAAAGTGACCCACATTTTTCACTCCTTTTTTCAGCTTTCAAAGGCCTCATCTGTTGCCTTTCCCTGTTCATTAAGCTAGGAATAATAACGGGTGTAATGCTTAAAAAGACAATATTTTGAGAAAGAGAGGGCAATTTCTATTTGGCCCTTTGTCTTGTGTAATTCCACGTTTCTCTTCTCTGTGTGTGTAGCTCTGGTGAAAGGTGCCAGACTGACATGCTTGGGGAATGAATAACTCTTTTTATGCACAGTTGGTGTCTGAGTACATCAGAGGTTTTGGGTTAGCAAATCTCCTTAATCCTAAGAAGTAAATCACTAAAAGATGTTGTTGGTAAATATTAATTATTTTTCCTGAGATGGAACTCAAAATCAGAGAGGAAGGAGATAAAGAAATATGGACATGCCTGATAATTCTGAACATATCACCAGGAAAGGCCTCTCTGCCAGGTTGATAAGGGAGTGTCCTGATATCTCATCTTGTTTTGAATATGCCTACCAATTTCCTATCACATGTCACAGCCTCCAACCACTCTGCAGCTAAGCCATGCAGTACAAACACAAAACTGCAAAAACTTAGCCTTTAGCTCCTTGGTGGTGCATTTCTTTTGAAGACAAAACAACTGTGACAGTTTTTCTTAAAATGTGAATTTTCTACTCATGAAAAACAGCAGTTCAGATTTCTAAAAATAACTGTCATCTTTGCATGCCAGAGCTGAGAGGTCTAAAGGAATGAGCCAATTAATTGACTAGGGAACTTAAAAATGGAAACCTGTCAGATGGATGTGTCTGGACCATAGATCAGGAGGAAAGGAAGATGGAGAGCAATGTGTATGCTGGTATTTCTAACCAATCATGCGACTTGGGGTTGGCACTCTGAACCAGGTGATACTAATGGGGAAGGAGATATTGCTCCCCATCCTCTCTCCTTTCCCAGTCTTAACTGACTCATTGCTTTGGAAATTCTTGGCTAACATATTCATTCATTTCTCACAGAAACTAAGTGTTGCAGCTAGAAATAAAACAGAAGATGGCTAGTAGTGACATATCTATGGAGAATTCATAATGCATGATTTCAAGTCTCAGAAACTTCAGAAAAGTTATAATTTATTCCTTTTCCTGCTCTGCAATATGTTTAATACTTCTGGTATAAAAACCTACATGATCCAACTGCTCATGTTAACAGCACTATTGAGAAATGTTTAGTGGTTATGAACTCTTTCACCCCAGCATGCACAATACCCAGGGCACTGGGACCAGCTGCACACATGATAGAGGAAGAATGGGCCGCCCTCAACACAGCAGGGAGTATGAAGACTGATTTGTTTGGTGCCTATGCCCTTGACATTCTCCCTGTGCAGCTCGCACAGCTTCTAGCTCCATCCTGATTCCTCTACAGGTTGGAACAGGTAGTGTTAAGTGGCTCTGGCTTCTCTCTCTCCCAGTGCCTAAGAAGCTGAGTTTTACCATGGTGGTGGTGGATCTCTGAGTCTCTTGCCTAGCTCTACCAACATTTTTAATCAAATGCTTGTGAATCTGTCCTTAGACTAGAATACCACCTGTACTCCAGTAGAATTAAGCAGCTTTTTAGCAGACAAATTTAGCATCTCATGTATTAGATTCATGTCATTCTGAGCAGGTGCCAGAACGTTTTTTTCATGTCAAACACTTGGACAGCTTAAGACTACTTTTGATGACGATTCATTGTCTTTCAGCCCAGGAAATCCCCAGCACAACAATTTCTCCTTGCAAAACTGACTTTTTAAGAGACGCTTTTTACAAATCGCATCTACCCTAGGTAGGTAGCTTTGATATCACCTCCAAAACAAATTCCTCATCAACCCCAAATATTTTGAATGCAAAAATTCTTTATGGCAGTCTTGATTGATGGTGTCTGAATGCAGGTACCCTTCTTCTCTATGTCCTCTTTACGTTCAGGTGACTGCATTGCTGACCTCAGCTCCCATAATGCACAATTCTCAAGAAAATGGGTTTATGATCTCTCACAGGAGTAAGTTTGCTCTAAAGAGATTTTTTGCAGAGGAGAAATGTACCAAGAAGAATTAAGGAGTCACTTCCCAAAAGACACTACAGGAATATTTCTGACAAGACCTTTTCTCTTTTCACTTGATGAAAGTATTTTTAATTTTGGGGGTAGACCCATTTCTGATACCCAGCCAGCATATTTGTGGATGCTTTTCATATTAATTATTCAGTTTTCCTGTGCATCCTTCTTGCCAACAAAACTCTTAGGTTAGAGACAGATATCTGAATACTTTGCAAGGACAGTCTGCACTGACAGCACAGAGAGCAGGATGGAGTCAGCCAACTCAACCAGCTGCCATAGTGCTGAGCTGTCCACAAACACAGAAGCATTCCAGAGATGGAGTTATGACTGCAAGAGTCTCACAGTCAGCTTATAATTTGGTTTAGAAGAGTAATGTGTCTGATGCCATATGGTGGAGCTAATCTTGTTTATCACTGCTTCACTGCCCCATCCGTTTGGATCCTAGTAGGAATCATCACACAAAAACCTACTGCTGAGACCTTCTGCAGAGACAGAGACAGGTGTGAGTGGTCTGGGGAGGTCTCAGGAGAGTGCAGTTGGAGACTGAACAGAGAGAAGAAAGCTCATCCTTTCTGAATTGCACCAAAACACCCAGCATGAGATAGATAAATAGCTCAAATTTGAGAGAGACTTCTAGTGGACCTAATAAACGTTTTTTTTTCATTTTACCTCCAGATTTCTAGATTTTAGGAGGAATAATTTATTAATTATTAAAGGTTTGTCTGTAATGCATTTTTTTTACAAATTCTTATGTACTGATGCATATTGAGTCCAGTCTAATTCCTTAATGATTACAGCTTTCCTATTCATGTCTGTCAGGTTAATTCACAATGCAGTGATGTTACCTCATCTCACCAATAACCTGCCTTTGCAATAGTTAATGTTATTTCACTGCCCACCTTGGGCATCTCTGCTGAATTTGATGCTCACCTCAGTTATCAGCAACAGAAGATTAGCCACTGACCACCGACATTGCCTGTGAAAGGTCCGTGCCTTGATGTATCGCTTGGCAAAGTAAATCTAGACTGAGTGTGGAAACAAAAGATCTTTTTGTGGGCCTTGACAAGTCTTTGAACACACTCAAAAGGGCCAAATGGCTTTTTGATACAGTCTTGAGCTGGCAGCAGAGTTTCACCCTCTACAATTTTGCTATCACCTTTTTATTCTCATGTATTTCAAGAGGTGCAGGATGCTCCCAGTGTGTGTTTGTCTCTGACTCCACTGAGAGCAGGCACTTGCCCTGCGTGGTTCAGCAGTCATTGGAAGAGCCTGCCAGGGTACCTGCCAGCAGAGGGATGCCAGCTCCTTAATTCCATCAGGAACTGGTGTATGCAGCAGCTAATTTACTGCTTGAACACCTTGATTCTGATGGGTGAACTTGTATAAAACCTTTCTTTTCACACTCCACTGTGAGTCATGTTAGGAAGACTGCAGGGTGCCAGCTTTCTAGTGTCTGTGAGAAGCAGAGCAGTGCTCACACTTCCCAAAGCATTAGTCATTCAAATCCACCCTCAGTCTTTCTCATGTCACACATTTTATTTGTGCATGAGCAGGTAAGCTCAGAATAAGTTAAAATCTCTTCTTGGAAAGAAGGAGTCATGGAAGACAAGTCTGCACAAGGTTTAAAATAAAAATCCTGCAGCTCCACTGTTGTGTGTTTCACTTCTACCTGTGGTACCTGTAAAGCTATCAGGTTGGAAGAAACAGAAAAAAAAAACTATTTGCATGCTTTTGAGAAGCTTTCCTTCTCATTCTTCTATTATAAAGAAGAGATCATCCCAATATTTGAGAGACAAGAGGATAAAGTTCAACCATGCAAACCCATCCTCCTCTTTTTGGCCTTCTTGACACCCACTTGGATTTCACTCCTGAAGCTTAGTTACAGGCTGTGTAATCAGTGCACAGAACACACTGCAAAGAGAGCCTGGATAGCTGCTCCTGTCCTGTGCCAGGACAGGGTGAAGGTATGGTAAGGAATAAGAAACCTAAGAAAAACAAAGTTGGATGAGGAGGACATTTTGTTTCTCATGCCTACAAACAGTGGATCTCATGTTAAATCCCAAGAGTGAAAACACAGCAACAAGTTTAGGTCTGTGGTGAAGCCCAAGAATGGGCAATGCCATTAAACCTGACTGCTTTTGGGTCTGATTCTGCAGGTTTTACATATGTGTACATATACATGAGCACATGTCTATCACCTGAAGGCAGTCAACATAGTAATAGATGTGCAAAGACCTGAAGGGATATATCTCATTCACATTGTTTGGAGTTAGACTGTTAAGGAACAAGGGTCAAATATCTGCATAATCCCCAATCCCAGCACCAGGATAAGCAGAAGCAGTAATGTTTTCTCTCTCAGCACAGAAATGCACAGAAAATAAAAGGACTGGCAGTACCTTGCCAGAACAAGTGCTTTGCTGCTCAGACTAGTTTTTGGAAGAAAACAAATTCTAGAAAAAGAAGATTAATTTCCTCCAAAATTATCTTTTCTTTCCATATACACACTGACAAGAAGCATCCTGTGAACAGTATACTCCAAACACATCAGTAAAATGAGGAACAGAAGAGTAACATCCATTATTTGGAAAGAGCAAAAGGTGAAGGAGAAATTGTATCTTCAGCTTTCCCAAATTCCTATCAAAGTGTGAGGAGGACAAACAAAGAAAAAACTCTTCTGCAATTTCTTCCCTCTCCCTCTCTGCAGCATTGGCATCACAGAAAGCAAGCAGCTATGATGTCTCATAGACCCAAGATTATGTTGTATTCTGAACCTCCACCTTCCCACCTCTGGAAACTTTGTTGTGCTGGCTTTGCCCATTCTGACACTGAGTGTTTTCCCTGAGACATCAGTGTCTATGAATTTGAATGAATGAATGAAATTTTGCCCTCATTTTCTCAGAGACGTGCATTTGAGAGACATTTATTGGACAAAGGAGCAGGTAGGAGCCAAAAGATGCAGCACCAGCCCATCATCCTTCCCCAGCTGACAGCAGAGTGGTTGGGTGGTGGGAAGAGGCAGCTCCCTGCAGACCATGCTGACTGCCAGTTATCCTTGCTCTTGCTCCATTACTCTCCCAGCTCCAGCCTGCACTGAGCTGTCTCTCACCAGAAAGGAACTATTTTCCTTGACCTCAGTGATAAACAAAATGCCACATTGCTTTTTTGTTTTTCAAATAACACAAAAGAAATGTGACAAGGCGGCTTAAAACTTTGTCAAAAATCTTGTTTTCTGTGATTAGACTTGAGTGCAGAGGATCATTGTAATTTTGGGAAAATTTAGGCTTATTTAGCTTTACCAACCATAGCTCTTTTATGACCAGGAGCACCCTCAGAAAGTTTCTCCTTAATACCGTCTCTCACTGAGGACTTTGAACAGTGAAATTATTTGATAGTTGTCAAAGATAGTTTTTGTGGGTCAGATGCTATATAGCTCATTGTCTAAGCCATATCTCCAAGTTTAGATTAACTCTTGGCTCATAAGGATTTCCTCACAGAAGTAAGCTAAAGAGTATTGCATTAAAGAGAAAAAGGCTGAAATAATAAGCTAAAAAGAAATGCATAGAAATGGTGTAGAACTTCTCTTGTGGGACCTGTATTTTTTTTTTCTAAAATACATAAACAAAGGAGAAAAATAGTTCTGGCTAAAATAATTTTGAAAAGCTCACTCCTACAAGTCCAAATGAAAGAAAACTTTAATCTCTAGATTCAACCTCCATTATCTGACAGATAATGGAACTATCTGCAGGAAATGAAAAACCTGATGAAGATTAAATGTGGGATTCACCTAATATAACTTCATCTCCTTGAAATTCAGGTGACTAAATTAAAGCCCTCCTCTTGGCTCTCTATACTGAGTACAGAGTGGGAGAAATACCTCCAAAGATAAATTAATATTCTGTCTTCTAGTCATCTGTCTTACACAGGTATAAGTTGCCTTCAAGAGGGATGTCCATCTCTGCTGACTACTGAAAAAATCCTGACAGGCTTGGTAGAAAAGTCTTGACTATGAAAGGCCAAGTATGCTCAGTCCCATGGGTCAGAGAGTGAATTGGTCGTGCCCAGGGAGAATGGAAGGTTTGTTTTGACTTGGAGAATAGCCTAGGACAAGGCTTAATACTGATATCAAGGCATCAGATACAAAACACAAATAAATTTGTGTCCTTTCTCTGCTACTGCCATAAAATATGGCATTTTTTGCTATTAAAAATGCAGTGGTGTTGTCTTCAAAAATAGTTGTCTTTATGAAAACATAAAGAGAAGTTCTAAATGCAAGTACATGGATACTGAGGGGTTTTCTTTCCCCTTAATTCACTGAGTTAATTTTTTACTGTGAGTGGCAAAGCAAAACTCCTCTGTAGAAACATTCACTCCCCCAATGTGTTATGGATTTCCAGTGGTGAACTATTAGGTGTTTTTGCAATTAACACAGCATGAAAGAACCATCACTTCTATGGATCTCTGAGTTCACACTTTCTTCTAATGAGAGCCAAGATAAATTGTTCCAGTTTCAGTGTATTGGCTACCAAATTGACCCTGATCCATAGCTCACTTCAGGCTTTGGTAATTCCAATAATCTTGCAGTATGTTTGGATCCACCAATTGAAAATGTCTAAAATTCAGTCATGCTACTCTAGAAGATAAAGCTGGAATAAAACCAGATATATTCTGCTCAGGTTTAATTTTTTTTTCTTCTCTTCCTGTGAAATATAACACCACTTCCACATCCATCTACACTGGTATTTTTCCCAGAGATGAAATACTGGAGAACCTGACCTAGTGCCTTAAGGCAATTCCTTAGTGATGGAACTATCTTTATTAACAGATGACATAATTTCTCTTCTCAGAGTGTAAAATGCAGAGTAAAGAGAGGTGAAGGGACAGAGGCAACTCTCTTTATGCCCTCACCACATTTAACAAACCTTGTCCATAGAGGAGTCTGACAGTGCACTTTCTATTCTGGTTCCATTTGTATATATCCTTCAGAAGAGGCAGCACATGAATAACACTGCTGATTGTTGATGTCTGTGTTCAAGGTGAATGTTAAAAAAGAATGGATATTTCTCTGCAAATCAGCTCTTCCCAAAACTCACCTCAGTGACTGCACACTGTAAAATGATTGTGCTCATGATGGGTATGTAGCACGACGTGTGGTATTCCTGGGTCAGAAATCTTCTTAATAGCTATGGGAGAGGGCTCTGGGAAATATTGAGACTATGGGTCATGAGTTTCACAGGTCCTGTAGAGAATCTGGTTAAAGTTAGGTTCTGAAATAGTGACTGTGAATAAAAACCCAAAAGGTGATTCTACCTGAGTTCCTAATCCTGAGGAATGAGCAGGTATGAACTGAGTGCCACCCACGTGGCAGGAGCGGTGAGCAATGATTGACACAATGGTCTGTTTGTGCTCTCCCAGCTATCCTAGGAGTAATTCCATATAATGAGATCCATAGCACTGGTGAGGTGCTGGAGGTCAGTTTGTACATGAGCCCTGTCCTGTGTGAATGGCATGGACGTGCTACACCAGTGGGTTCTGGTCACATCAGGGAAAGAGTCATCAAAATGTTGGAGGATGGGAATGGCAGATCAGTCCATCACTGGTCTCTAGTATCTGATGTTTGATATGTTTCCTTTTAGAGCCACGTAAAAGTGCTCAGAGCACCCTTGTTCCTCCTGGAGGTCAGGCCTGGCTGCCAAGGCTCAGAGTCCCTCGTGCTCCAAGGGGATCAGGAAAAGCCCACAGCAGCCTTTGAGGAGGTTACCATGAGCAGACCCATCCCACCTCTCCTTTATCTCCCACCTGTGCCACAGACCTAGCCACATCACAGTAAAATATTGGGCTGTAACAGGAAACAATTAATGAAGAGCTGTCAGAAGAGATATATAACAGACAGACAGTATTGTAAAATTACATACCTAGCCTTTTTTTTTTTTTTTTTGTAGTCAGATTCTTCCATATGTTGCCAGCCTGAGGCATTTTTATAGGAACTTTACCCAAACCAGGGACTGATATTTTAAAATTTCAATCTTGCTTGAGACACACCCCTCCTCTCATCTCCCCTCCCCCAAGTTTATGCTGTGTATTTTCCTTTGTCTTGCTGTTTTAAAGTTACATTCTTTGGCTCTTGAGACACTCATGTATTCTCTGCCTGGGGTGCACACATGGAGCAAAGGGGCTGGAGACAAGAGCCTGATTTGGGATGTAGCATCCCATTCTCCTCTTCAACCTCCATCTTGCACTCAAAGAAAAATGAGATCGTTGTGGCAATAACCTGATTCCCACCAGTGCAGCAGAAATCACTTGCTTCTCTCATCTCTATGAACTGCAATATCATAAAATATCTTCCCACATATTCAGGTATCACTCTTGGAGGACACAAGGCAGGATTCCTTTGCAGAAGGAACTTAATGGGTAGGAAGAATACCGACTTAATGTGTAGCTTCCCATTGATTTACAGTGGTATCTTATTTCTCTCAGGATGTTTTGTCTCTAAAGCAATTTGAAAAATCTCTATTCATGCTAATTTTGATATCTACTTTATGTTCTAACACACCAAGAAGAGTTTGTCATTTGTGTCACTGGGAGCTGGCCAGCAGCTGGCAACTTTGCACAATTGACCTCCAACAGAAAGGAAGCCAAATTCAGCTGAAGTTTGAATAGCATTTATTGGAGCATAAGAAGTAAGCAAGTTTTTTCCTTCAACATGCTTGTTTAATAAAAAAAAAAAAAAATAGTTAAGGGTGACAATATTTCATACACGTCTTTAGAAAAAGGGTAAACGTATCAGAGCCCATGATCTCACGTATCATAAATCTTCTAAAAGCAAACCTGGGAAGGATTTTAATTAGCCTCTTAATTGCACACCCTGCACTGAAAAAGGCAAGTAATATGTACTGAGGCCACCTCTAACAGATATTTGATTTATAATCTCAGAGTAAACCAATTCTGCAGCCCGTCTAGGCAACTTGTAGTGCTTCCTTATACTTAGTTAGGAAACTTTCCCTAGTATCTAACCTAAATCTTTGTTTCTGCAAATTAAGACAATTACTTCTTGTTTGACCACTATTGAACTGTCTGAACAATTGATCATTCTTCTGTGGTGTTACTATAAAACTGAAACAAAACTACTGGAAAAGTAGAATCATATCTTTGTTTAAACTTTTTTAGATTAAATAAATCCATTTTTTTTAGTATGTGGTACTAAAACTCTTATTGTTTTCCAATCACCTTTAGACTTTCTGTAGATTATCTATTATCTCGATCTTTGTCAGACTCTTGCAGATTAAATGTCCCAATGTTTATTTTATAGTCAAGTCTTTAATAACACCTCACATGGCAATATGCCTTATTTAAAACCATACAAAATTTTCCTCCTTAATATGTATGTGATTTGCTGTATTCTTTCAGATATTATATTGGTTTTTGGCTGAAGCTTTTTTATTTTTAACTCAGTGCCGGATTTCCTTATTTCAAATGGAGCATCCTTCATGCTTTTGTTAAATTTCATTTGCTGATTTCAAACCAAACCTCCAGTCTACTCAGATCACTTTGTATTTTGTCATCTGAAAGTACTATTTCACAGATGAAATGCCTTCACATACTGCTGTGAAGCACCACTGACCTGAATAAGTCTTCATTTCAAGGGCTTTTTTATTGAGATTCTGGATGAGGTCCAGGTATGAAGTCATTACATGGTCAATTATTTTCCAGTCTGCCACAGTAGTGTTTCAAGCACATGTGCTGGTACGTTATGTGTGTGGGAAATAACATGAAGAGGAAGAACTTTAAAATACCAAAACTGACATTTCTGCTTTTCCATAATTCTTTAGAAGAGTTTTTATATTTCCATTTTTATTGATATATATAAAAATGAATGTGTACACCTAACATTGATTTGCCCACACACTGTCTGTTTAGGGTTTTGCATGTTTCTGACATTAAACAATCCTTCTCTTCTACTTTTTGGTTTTGATAGGCTGCCTCAGGGGTCTCTTGCACATAAATAATATTTTTTCATATGGTCTTTTTTCTTCTCCCTGCAATTATCTCTTTAGACTAATGAGTACTTGAAAGTGAATTGTATTTGAAACCAATGGAGGTCAATAGAGGTGACTAAGTATTATGCTAATTTAGGTTTTGGCTCCTATTATATATTGTCCAGGTCCATTCAGGTTTAAGAGTAAAGAACAGAAGCTTTTGTGTTTCAATGTTTACATGAGTTTTCCCCTTTTGCTGAAGTATAATGGTTGATATTTGCATTTAATTAAGGTTTGACTCAAAGGGATACTGGAGTTGGCTTCATTAGTCTTGAAAGATGTCCTTGACACAAATAAATATTAGCATCCTGGCTAAGGGAAAAACCAAAGAAAATAACAGTGATTAATTGAAAAAAAAAAAAAAAGAGAAAAGAAGACAGAAATATCTTTCACACATCACAGGGCTTTCTCCAGATTTATCACAAAAATGAAAAGCACTTTGAAGATGGGAAATTGCAAATGCAGAAACTGTGTCTTCGTATCTCCAATACGTGTAGCCACATGCTTCAAATGAATGTGACTGATAGAAGTGTTACCAGAAAACTGCAGCCAAGAATCAAAAAGCGACTGCTGGATTTTAAAATGTGTGATTCATTTTCATGCCATTAAGATGAGAAATGTATTTTTTCCCCTTCTCTCTCTGGTTTTTGAACCATTCCTTCTCCTCCTTTCTCTAGAGGCACACTGAACCTTTGGTGTGTTATATTGTGCTCAGACATCTGACTAGGAGAGGAAAACAATGTATTTTCTTTCTTTAAATGCCAAAATGTCATAAATTTCCACCTCCACGTATTGTCTCCACCTCTGAAGATGCTAGGGGAGGTTTCCTTCTGAATGTTTTTCTAGATCTGTGCAAAAATGACTGATTTAAAAGCAGTGAGATATACTTTGGTAATGGAAGACAGACAGTTTTCAGAACTTTGACAGTTACAAGTTTGGCAGACAGTTTTGCCTTCTAAAAGATCCTGATTTTCAGAAAATTCTATATTGCAATAAATAAATTCACTTCCAGGCAGCTCCTATTAAACATCAAAACTGAAGCATGTAAAATCTGAAGCTGCATTCACAATCCTCACTTAGATACAAGATCTCAGTCATAATCCATCTTGGTTGCCAAGGTCTTAAGACCCATAGTACATCTGATAAAATTTTCTGTTCATGGGACAAATTTCCATTGATGCTGTTGTTGGTTTCCCATCAGCTGACCCGTTTTCCCAAGGAATTAATCAACAGGATGAAAGTCAGAATAAGCTTCTTGGCATCCTTGTATGAGGTAAATAAGTGTCAAATTGAAACTACGTAAAAATTAGTATTTAATTTAATTGAGATTAATAAAATAATACAAAATATTTTATCAGTACAGTTTTTATTATTTATTTTACTATGTTTATTATATTTTATAATTTTATGTATAATTTTAATTATGTTTTTATTTATTCATAATTGTTTGATGCTAGCAACAGATCCCAAGTTTGTGTCAGAGTGAGTACCTAATATTTAGAAATCCTTAGAGAGAAAATATAATAACAACAACTGACTAATTTATTTGCTATGAAGTAGAAGACATTACATTAATCTTTACTGGACTTTAAAAAGATAGTCTTTGTTCTTGTAAGCAACCTGAGCAATCAAAGAATGAAATGTAAAAGTTCTGAGTAGAAAGCTGCAGTCACTACTCAGCAATGCAAAGTAGAATGACACATGCAAATTAAAGTGCATGCGGTATTTTTCAAGCTCTAAATCAAATTTGTTGGGATAAAATGGTGATAAAAAAAACTTCAGACATGTTCAAATCCCATTTTCTGAATTGATTTGAGAATCACGAGGCTTGAATCTCATTTTAGATCATTGAAACTTGAGAAATTGAGGGTCAAAATCCAAATGCCATCCCCTGTACTTCCTAACACCTAGAAATGACAAATCCAGGCTTACCTGTGATGTTTCACAACGACTCAGATCACCTTTACTGCCTCTTTCATGTCACTGCAGAGAGTCTGTACCCTTGGTGAGAGTCTTTGTTAAGGGGACAGCTGATGGATATGAATGGAAAGACAGCTGACACAAACCAGCATGTCAGGTACTGCATCCAGCTGGAATTCATCACACGCTATTTTGAGTGGATGCCTGGAATGTGCATGGTAGTAGCAGACCACTAGATCATAAATTGAAATAATCTTGACATGGTCCTAAGCTGTCCTAGGGTTTGTTGTGGTCTCTCCAGTTATGAAGTGATCGAATGACTTTAACTCATATTTTGTTCACGGGCCTGTCCAGTGTCAATTTGATGAATGAGTAATAATTAACCATGGTTAAACATAATCACAGAATACTCTGAGTTGGAAGGCATCCACAAGGATCAACAAGTCCAGCTCTTAAGTGAACTGCCCATATGGGGATTGGATCCATGATTGGTGTTATCACCATGCTCTCACCAACTGAGTTAATCTCAGGGTCATGGAATTTACTTTCTGTTGAGTTATTCCTAGTTGCTTGTTCTAGTTTCCAGATGATATTTGTCACAGTCACTAATGAGACCAAAATTTGCTTAGCCAAAGAACTACTGTGATTTTAAAAGACATTTTAAAGAAGGCATTTGTAGACATTTCTGCTTACCCTGAGGTTTCCTTAGCCTAGCCTAAGCATTGAGGGTATTAATGACTTTTATTTTAAACCACTTTCATGTCAATCAGATTTCCAATGCTTATTAACACTGATGTTTCCCCTGAGCAACAAAAACACACAAAATTTAGTTTATATTCTCTAATGTTTTTATGGTGCCCATCTAGATATACCAGTCCTGGAGGCAGAACTACCCATGATTGCATGCAGACAACTTTTATACCTCTTCCACAGTGAAGCAGCCTGATTTCTAATGATACTATGATTTTTTGTGTGTGTGTCCCTGACCTAGGTAAGGCTGGTGTTGTTTTGCTACCCTTCAAAAGAGGAGAAAATTTTCACATTTCTAGATGGTGCAGCAACAGTGCTGGAACTTGGAGGTTTGAAGTACTCAAAACTTATTTTTACAATGGATATTTGCTGAATTTCCATGAATGTTAAAACTCTTCTTTGAATCTCCAGAATCTTGAGGAAGATTTTCCATTGAGCACATGTTTCTGTCTGTTGGTTTTATTTTAAGAACACAGCAGTGGAGGGGATTGAGTAAAATGAAGATGCAAAGACAAGCAAGAAACAAGGAACAAATCACAGCAGCAAATCTTGGAGGAGTGTCTGAGAAAAAGTATAATCCACAAAGTGGCAGCATTAATGCATCAAGAGTGGAAAGGAACCTGAGACAAATACCTTGGACGGTGGGAGGTGTCTGGAAGCCCTTGTGAATGATGGTAGACAGCATATGGTGTGTGGGTGTCCACTGTGATCTGTTTCCCCCCAGCAGCACATGAACGGTACCCAGTCTCAAAGTCATATTTCCTCTTAGTCATAGTTCTACCTGCTCTTCATTTTTATCCTTCATGCCCTCCTGAAATGATACATTTGAAATGGTTTCTGGTCTGTTCTAAGCATTTAATTCCTGGAAAGATATCAACACACCAGAGAGACTTTTAAGAGGAGTGAGAAAGAAAAGCTGTGGAGGTGATTCATAGTAACAATGGTAATTGTCATAACAGTGATTGCTGCCCATTGCCTAGCAGCAATTTCAACATGTGTCCTCACCAGTATCTATTTTTAAGAGGACATTCTTCATTGTGTAACAGTATGTTTGTGTATTTAGCAAGATATAGAAAGGAGAAAGGGGAATGGCTGGAGGTCCTGATAAAGCTTAGAAAAGGTAGAGAAGAGGGGAGGAGATAAAATGTTTTAAATGCATGTGTTCAAGAATTGTCAAAAATAAAAAAAATGTGGAAGAAATATTAATATTATTTATTAAATCCCTTCAATTTTAAATGTGGAAATGGTGGATGAAAAATTACAGCCAGATTAATGAAAGTCAGATGGGTAGAATAAACCCTGAACTACAATTCTGCAACAGCAGAATTTTCAGGTCTTGCTCTCTCACTCTTACATCCTTCAGGACAAAAAATCTGACAGACATTTATCCTGGTGTCACTGAGATCACATTTTGAGAACAATGGTAGAATTGAAAAGGAGATTAGGTCACAGTTTGGCTAACACAATCTCTGTTGTCACTGGTGTTGTGTCAGTAAGAAAGACCCCCTGTCAGAAATCAAAGTGGCTCTGAGTGAGTGGCTGTGGGGGAAAACTTGTTTTCCATTTGTATGATGAGAAAATCAAACCTGAGAGTGAGAGAAGCATAATAAGTACAGGAGAGCAAATAAAAACCCCTCATTTTTTTGTAGATTCACTGTTTACAGTGGGCACTAAAATCCTGCTATTAAGATTTATAATTGTTCAAGGCTTTATTGTTTAGACATTTAGAAGTCATTCACTAACTCATATGTTTTAATTTCAGAGTAATCAAATACAAACAAAGAAATCTTCATAAACTAAGGAGTGCCTAATCTCAGAACATTAAATCACAGCAAGATATTTTGATTTGAGCATTTACATCTTGAACAGATTATAAAACTCTTAAGAGATCTGATGATATGGTCTTTACTCCCACCCAAGAGCAGATTCACATAGTTACCTTTGTGTTTTTGTACATAAAGGGTTATGGTTATAGATGAGCGTGTACTATACTGTAAAATGTAGCTAACTAACAGAGATTTAGGGGGAAAATAATGAATTTTTATGGATTAATTATTACTTCAGGTGATATAACTAGTGTAGAAATATAGCAAGGAATTGACTCTATGCTTCTGAATTCATACCTGAAATTGTCACTAGTTTACTGAAAACACTTAAGTTGTACTTGCAACCACTGAAAGCAGCAGACAGAATGTTTGCTCTACTGATATTTCCAAACTGTGCCTTTACCACCAGTTTTTTCTAAGCCTTTCCTTTAGTATTTGTTCAAATCTTGAGATCAATGCCTATCAAAACAGGAATGACATTTCTGGGCAAAACTTACTGAAACAATCATTTAGCACTGTCATCATATATTAGAGAGTAAACTTTAATTTGTCAGGTAGCAAGCCTGCTTAGAAACACAACACATTGGGTATGAAAAACAAATTCATATAAATGATGCACATAAACTCATGACTATGCATTGTGTAAGCAATGTGTGCTTTGTGCCTCTATAGAGTTTTTACTCCAAAAGATGCAGCCTGTGTCTTGGCAGGGTGTGTGTATCAATGTGTGGAACACTTGATGTGAAAAACAATCAGTTGTGACAATCAGCCAGTCAGCAATCTTGAACACTTTCCATCTCTGCTCCATTTATGGGCATCAGTAAATAAAGCTGTGTTCTTAAAGCTGTGTTTCCATTTATTTTTTTCTGCCAGCTAGTGCCAGGCAACTTAGTGGAGCCTTCCAACATTGCCTCCGTATGGAAATAAATTGAATCAACATTGTATTTTTTTTCCCCCAGAATAAAATGTTCCCTCTCTCTTTCATACTCCTTTTGCTTCATGAGAAAACAGCTTCAAAATAAACAATTAGAGGGCCCTTGTAAACTTTGCTATCAGTTACTTAGATTTGTTTTTGTGTTTCTTTTTTAATAAATAGTTACATTAAAGAGAAGAGGGAGAAAATCTAGTTCTACATCTGCTGGTCCTCAGTTCATTCTGAGAAGAAAACTAATGGTCTCCAAATAAATATTACAGCTGTTGAAACTTTGAGGAGATGTGATTCAGTCTGATCCTTGCAACTTGAATTTGGATTTTAAAATGGTCTATTTTTTTTCTAATGTAAATGAATACTTGTTTTTTTTTCTGTGTAATTTTCTTCTTGATTTACATCTGGGTTCAAAAAATACAGTGGATGACTTTGCCCCTGTGACCTCTCCTTCTTTTCTTTCCAGTTCTTTCATGAAGAATGACATTTTCTGTCCATAAGGGTGAATGTTTTCAAAGAATCTCAACATCTGTAGAAAAAACAAACAAAACCCCCAAAATGACAAGAGCAACAACAACAACAACAACAAAACAAACAAACAGCAACAACAAAAAAAACCCCAAGGACTTTGTGGAAAACATTCTGGGCTGTGGGAGAGAAATCCTATAGTTCATGTCCTTCCTTTCAAATGCACTTTCATATGTGACTTCAGGCAATTTACTTGATCTCTCCAGCTCTGAATGTCCATGAACTCAGCAATATTTTTAATACATGGATACACAGGAACTAGCAGTCTTATCACTTCTTCTCTACTGTGTTACAGTTTAGATAAACCTATCTTTATAAAAGTTTAATAGTGTTTAAGACAAAATGGATTCTATACACAAGTTACATTTATTGCAAGAAAACAAATAGAAGAAGAAAATATCTATGAGTTTTCAGCTTATCTGGACAAAGGCTTTTATTAGCTGTTTCCTCGGTATATTTTTGCAAGAAACCTTTAAAGATAACTTTGCTTTTGGGAGTAGAGAATCTTGAAATATGACAAAGGCTGCTGAGAAATCTTAATACAAAGGCACAATGTATCCCAAGAAAGTTTCCATGATGTCACTTCAGCTGAATCTCTGAGGAAAAATATACTCTGCAAAGAAAAGCACACCAAGAGAGCAAAGACAATCAGATGTATTAACACACAGAGTTAGCAACATCAAAGCAGGGAGGTCCCTCTTTGGTTTTGTTGGATGTGCTTTGGGTTTTTTCCTGAGACCCTGCACTAAGCTCAGTAGCATTTCTCCTCAAGAGCAAGAGGGAGAGTTTTGCCTTCCTCCACAGTAGCATTTCTGAAGTAGATTAGATGTGTCATGAGAGATGATGCAGGGCAATTTGTAGAAGGAGATGATACAATCAACATCCACAAATAGAAAACAGAAGCAGCCAATAAATATTTCTGTTTCATAACTGTAAACAGGCAAGAATAATGTACTTGCACAACACAAAGATAAAGTACCTTTCAGTTCACACACCATCTCCTCAGGATAAGCAATGAGGAATTTGTGTGACCTAGATGACTTGCACATCACAGCCCAAACTGGTGATGAGGACATTTTGCCAAATCATGAGGAGAACTCAGAAGGAGCTCAGAAGGGTTACAACAATCTGCAAGATGTATTCAAAAGGGACATTCCATGAAAATTATTTGCGTGTTTCTAGGTCAAAGAAAAATAATGCAATTTGATTACTGAAGATTAAAAGCTTCAAATTTAAGTAATGCCAGTGTACTTTATGGTTGCTAAAAAAAAAAAAAAAAAAAGACGAATATTTTTGGGGAAATTAGTTTTTGGATGCCAAAAGTACCTGAATTATTTAAGAAATTATTAATAATTACATTAATAACTTAGAGTTATTAATGTGATTATTAATTGTTACATTAATTACTTAAACTTCTGTAAGGATTTAGAACCTTGTGGCATTTTAATTAAAAATATTACATTGTGAATTACTGGGGACGAGCTGATGAATGGTGCAACTGACAAATTAAGGATAATAAATAGAGAGATTTTATTAATGGAGAATTTTCATTATAGGTTTTCCTAGTGGGAAAAATCACCATGGAAAATCTACTTGATACTGCTCAAGATTTTTGCCATGATTTAGTAGTAAATACATCATCACTGTCAATAAAGTATGTAATTGTCACAGAGGGTAGAGGAATGGTGAGAAAATGATGAAGTAGAGCAGTCAGACACAATGTCCAAGACTATCTGGTGAACTGATGTATTCAATCAAGATGCTTTTTCAGCTCAGGTAAATGAAAAATTTTATCCATGTAAGTATAGGGAATGCAGATAATTTCCTAGAGCAAAAGAATTGGAACTACAGAAGACATTTAGAATATATAGGGATAATAGCAGAAAAAGAACCAGTGGTTTCTGCAGTGGTTTTCTGCATCAAAAACACTCATTCCAAGTCTTGTATGTGGGAGCACTTAAAATAAGAAACATCTTCTTATATAGTACTGAAGAGATTATTTTTATCATATCAATAGTTCTAGAGCTTACAATTTCAAAGAACTATTAGAAAATTGGAAAAGAAATCTATTCTAGTTATTAACGACATGGGGAATATACATTCCAGTGAATCCTACTGGGGTTTTCAGCCTTTTTTGTCTAGCAGGGAAAGCCTACATGGATGTCTGAACACTAAATGTCATTCAGTTGGGTCAGACAGTTTTAATACAGTGATTATTTAATAATTAAAAGCAAATGTACTTGAGAAATTATTAAAATTGTGCTGGATTCTTCTCTCCTCATTTATTCATACCAGAGGGTATATTTTGGTCACAGACTGTTGCCTCCATAAAGGAATAATGTGGTGAATCATCAATATCTGAGATAGGAAGAAATTTGGATGAGATGAAGATATATTGCCTACCACAGAAAGACATGGTGATGGGAAGGGGAAGCCTGGCACTGGTGCCAATCCAACAACTTTGCATCAGATCTTGGCTTTCAACCCAGTTTGAGCAGTTTAGGATTGTCACAAGATTTAAGTCTGAGTAGCAGGGCAATAATCCCCAGCAGCCAATCAACATTAATGCTATTTCCATTTCAACAGGGATAATACCATAGAGATAAGAGAAGTTACATTCATAGAAAGTGCATGTTACAAATTCCTCCCTCTCTACTCATTCCATCAGGAGGAGAGCTGTTGGTAGCAGACCTTTATAGCTATAACTACTCATATTTTCTCTGTAAAGGTACTAAGTTAAATCCCAGAAATATCATCCAGCAGAGCAGCTATCACATCAGCTCCTATGCTAGTAACCAGAAAATTTTCTATATAGAACTCCTGAGTATATATTTTATGTACTAAACCTAAAAACATCAATTTTATTCCTTCTTTAGTAACCTCTTCCAGAGATCATGCATCAACTTACATATTATATTTCTTAAATAATTATCTTACAAGGAAATTTAAGTTGGTGTAAAAATAAAATGTCAATCCCATTTTTCTTCTACAGAAATGTCCTTATGCCAAGACAAGATGAAACCTCCACCATATGCTCATAAATGAAAGAGAAAATATGTTAACTAATGGTTCTATGTTAGCAAACTATTCTAATTGATTTATTTCACTTGGTAATTGCACTGCTAGAATGTATCTGTGCTTAAACTGCCACGAGCTCTGTCTGACATCTATTTTAAACACTGGGCAATGAATGCAAAGAATTTATCATATCATAACAGGTGACGAATTGGGGCTTTATATTTCTAATATTGTCTAAAACAATTGCACATTCATTTTAAAAAATATCTTAATTCTAAAAAACTGTAAATATTTTTTGAGACTGGTTACTAACCCAAAAAACTGGGTTAATAAAGAACAAACACAAAGTACTTTCTTTTTGTCCTCTTCTTGGTTTTCTGAACATATACAAAGAAGTTTAATATTGCAGATATTGTTTCAAAGCTATGTGGATGATTTTTTTAGGCTGACATTCCCTAAAACAAGGGATTGAATATCAAAATATACAAGCAAAAATTGAAATAAAAGAGAAAAAAGGGGGGAGGTAACAGTGAAGTCACTAAGCAGAAGGTTTTGCTTTCAAATCACCAGGACAAAATTTATGAGATAGGTGGCCTCTAACATTTATCCTATAATTTGTCTTATTCTAGTGTTCTATAGGAAAGCAGAGAGGAAAATCTGTACATTTTCATGTGAACAAACATTGTTTGTAAAATCACAGACACTGCTTTTTGCATAATAAATGAAATATTAAGAGGTTTCATTAGAGGAAGTATTAATCTGAATATAACAATGAAGTTTCATGGTATACTGAAAGTTAAGTTTAAAATCATGGGAAGTCAGACAATATTCTGTTCCTGGTACTTTCATGCTTGTGGAGGACACAACGTGGCATGTGACCACTTCATCATCTCCTCCCAGTCCTACTGTCTGCTGCAGAACTGTCTTCATGATCACGATCTTCAGTGAAGCTGCCCACTGAGCTGGAAGGATTGTTACTCAAAAGTGTCAATACTCAGGGAATGGCCCAACTTCATTATAAAACAGCTCTCAGTGAAATGTAAACTTTAAGGCATTTAGAGATTTTTGAAGAGCTAAGATTTTAGTTAGAAATAAGCCTTACTAGAGTTAATTAAAATAATAATAAATGAGTAGGCCTTGATAAAGTTAGGAGTTAGTAGTTAACTAATAATTGATTGCTTGTCAGCACAGTGTTTAGTTAGCTGGGTTTATAATGAAGAATACACAAACTGACAAATAGCTTTTAGGAACATAAGACAATTGTGGGTCTCCTCTGTTCTGAAACCAGTTGAAGACAAGGAATGGTAGTTCTACCAAGAGTTCATTTGTCATACTTGCATTGAAAAGGTAGAAAGGTCAGAACGAGGAAGACTTCATTTACTTCCTCATTTTGGGACCCCTCCCCATGAAAGGGACCACCGACCCATTTCAAGGGACAAACTACACATGCTTAATAACTTTTGGAGTGATTAGCATACGAAGCGGGGAATGGGATGTACTAAAATTATGAATATGTATTTGTATTTTTTGTATTCAATACTTGTATGGATAAAAAGACTCTGTAATCACCTGGAAGGGGCGGTGTGTATTTGGGAGCAATCCCACACGCTGCCTGGCGTCGAATAAGCATACACTTTCTAACTTTAAACTGTTAGAGAGTTTTTGTCCGTCACAGTTGGATATCGGTACTAGATCAATATCCATATTTTTTAATAAATCATCAGGGAATGTGTTACAAATGTGGATTATGGAAAAAATTATCTTTTTTCCTGAATACAGCCATTATCTATTCCAGTTATTAAGTGTCTCCATGGACTTTGATCAAGCACTTGTCAATTTTTTCTTACAGCTGGATCATATTGTCCTTATTTCCCATCTGTGAGCATTGCTTATTTGGAAGTTAGAAAAATCTTTTGATGGATTCCTACTGGAAAGGTCAAGCCATATATCACCATGTAATTTTAATGACCAAATTTTATACTATGAAAATGGATGGGGAATCACCTGTTGGAAAAAATTGCCTAATAATAATGGCTGGAAAACCTACATAAAGTCCCATTAAGAATGGATCTCTTTCCCTGGTGATATCCAGACAGCTGTGTAACAAAACTACAGATTGTGACCTATCATTCAAGGTGTATAATTCATTATTCAAAGAAACCTCGTTTAGGCATCTAGGAAAACTGTTTTTGCTGTCAACAAAGCAACAGCAGGAAAACGATAATTTGAAGAACACATTGAAGTTAGCCATGAAAATGGCTGTAGAAAGAATCAAAGAAAAGCAGACAGTGTCAGTTAACCAGCTGCTGGGTGTGAATTTTCATTATTTATCTTCCTTGAAGCACTCAAGTTACGAAGGATCTCTGGCAGATTTGTAGTCCAATGCTCAAAGCAGAGCAAATTGCAAAGTTAGATCAGGTTGTTCAGATTCTCGCCCCGCTGAGCTGGCACAGTGCCCCACTACAACCCCTACAGGATATCTCAGATTGAGCTGGGATGGGGCTCTGAGGAACCTTGTGTAGTGGCTGCCATCCCTGCCTATGGCTGGGTGTTGGAACCAAATGATCCTTCAGGTTCTTTCTGAGTAGAGAAGGAACTCAGGTGGATTAAATCTAACTGATCTTAGTGAATCAGAGGTAGAAATGAAGAATCACTTTCTGATCCTTCATGTACCTTCCACAAATCATGTTTTTTTCCAATGCACTAATACTGGACCATGTTTATTCTCTTGTTTTATTCTTTTAAATTTCTATTCAAGTCCATAATTGACAAAACCATCATGAGAATAACTTATTAAACAGAATGAATTAATAACCATTTCTCATTAATCTGGAGTTTGAATTGACTAAGTCTCAAAGAAATACATGATAATTGGGAATCTAGCTTTAAAAGTGTTTAATGTATTTTAAAATCCTCTGTAATTGTTTGGTCTCTTGAACATGAAGAACTAAATAGTCCTTTCCATTTCCATTTTTCCAAGACTTACCAAGACATCATGACAATTGAAATTTTTTAGTCCACATTTTTCAGACTGAGATATCAAAGTTTTAGCACCTTGATCCAATGTCAATATTCAGAAAGCAATCTGATTTTCAGATGTTGGCCATCCACTTCTGAAAACATCTTTAATTTGCCTGTGTCTCAGTCAGTTAATTCCCCCGACTTGGTAGGAAGAGACTGAAACTAAGTGTGGATTTAAACAGCTTTCTGAACAGCCAGCAGACAGAAGACACATCTTTGCTC